TTAATTTTCTCATAGTTTTTCAGTGATTCTTAGTTGTCAATCATGATTGTACTTTTAATGACCTTTGTACTTTAACATCTTGTACACGGCAACTTTGTCATTTAGATTTGATGAATGTATTTGAAAATTATTCAAACAATGAAATTATATTGCCAGTTGGGGTGTGGGTATAGATAAGAGCTGAATTCTCTCCTACCACCACAGCCACACCTTCCTCGGTATTAAAATACGAGCAGATGATGACTTGGACTGTTCCTTGAAATATAGGTTTGAAGTTCCTCTATGTGAAACACATGTGAAAATCAAAATTACATCGAAACGAAACGTCCTTTTCGTGCATTTTGCTGAATACTTTTCGAAAATGAAGGATTTCAAAATAACTAGATTTTATATAGTATCGGTCAAAAAGATGTCCCAGAATCTCCGCTATCGATTACTGAAATCTACAGATCGTTAGTTAATACCATTCTCGAGTTCTATGACTTGCCTTCATCCCGTTTAAATTCTGACGCCGGCATCAGAACGTGTTTCATATTTTAAAATGGCAGAAATTGCACACATAGTTTTTCTGATTTTCAATATTAATAATTATAAAAAAAAAAATTTTAATATTGTAAAATAAATTATCTTCGTTGTCTTAGTTCAAAGCAACATTTAAAAAATCTTTTTGATGATGGTTTTACAATAAAAATTCGTTTACAATCTTCACTGAATTCAACATTAGATCAAACAGTTCTCGATTGTTTTTCATCAAATTTTACCTTAAAAGAACATCATATAAATATATTACAATATGAAATAGCTGAAAAATAGGTTTCATTAAAAGATTTTTTTTTCTAAACTTGAAAATTTATTGATTAATGAACGTATAACTGATTATAGTATTTCACAAAATACATTTGATAATCTATTTGTTAATTTTGTACGTGATCAATATGATACATCCAAACAAAGAAACAAACAAAAAAACGTCTAGCTGAAGGCAAGAAAGAAATTTATGCATTTTCACTTCATTACTTTTCTTCTCAATCTTTCTTCATATTAAGAATATTTCGATCTTATATATGCATAGAGAATTATTTCTATTTCCAATCAAATGTAGTTTTATTTTTAGAAATCAAAATCAAGTTTAACAACAACAAAAAAAAAGTCTTTTAAAATAATATCATTCATGATTAATCAATATGTATAAGTGTTATTTTTATTATTTGATCCATATTTGAAGATGATAGGACCAATTTGGATCTTCTACGATCAAATACGTTGATGGTAAACGATCTTTTAACCATTTAATAACTTCATCTATGTTTATCTGTTTCACATTGAAAAATTGATCATTCTCCTTTGGTTTTGGCAAGTATACGGTATTTTTTCCATCTGTACATTTAACATATAATACTCGGAGATTGATCATATTTTTACAAATAATAATAACACTTTCAAGATATTCAATTCGAACATAAAGTATTTGACATTGGATACCCAATAATGAAGAATTCAATGTAACACATTTTTCTTCATTAAAACAATAATAATTATTTAAATTCAGAATACGAACTATTTTATTTATTAATTTGAATAATGATAATTGAAATGGCAATGAAAGATCTTGATGAGCAGCTAATCTAGAAAGATGATGTGCTTGATCAAGTAAAAATTGTAATTGAGAATAAAACTCATCAGTACAAGATAATATTTTAAGTGAATGGAGTCGTTTTAAATTTGGAACTATAGACCAAAATTGATTATTGATAGGAAATTTTATATCAAGTTCTTGAATGTTTGGTAAACTTATATTGGATGGAATTGATGAATTAAAAAAATAATCGAACATGATCGAAGTTATGTTATTATAAAACTCTTGTTGATTATCATGCAGATATGTCGATTGTAACAAATCAGGATGTTTTAATTCATAATAATTGAATAATTCTGATAAAGTATAAAGATGAATTGTATTGTCTGATGTAATACATCGAATAAACCAATTATGTTCATCAATCCAAAATGAACTTCGAAATGAGTTAACGAATTCATTTGCTTGTTCTTCTATATTAACATTATAAAATGTATCATTCATTCGAAGTTGAAATACTTTCAATTTTGGTAAATAGTTACAAATGACACGTTCCCATTGATGACCATTAATAAATTTCGACCATAAAGTAATATTCAAACGATGTAGATTAGGTGTATTTTGTAAAAATGAAATTATTTTCGAAGTATCAGACATATGATAAATACTAATCTTTAAATCGATTAATGTTGGAAAAGAAGAAGATGGTATATAATAATCATTAATACCAGAAAAAATTATTATCGAAAGATGTTTAATATAAGGTGTATATTCAAAATAATTTATTTATTTGATTCCACGTAAGTTTATTATTATACATATTTAAATATTTGAGAGATGTTGAGATTTTTGTTGGAATGGAAAAAAAATTAGATCCTTGTATGGAAATATCAACATTGCAATGAGTAAGTTGAGGAAAATTCCATATATTGTTGACAATTGATTGAAAATCCTTTTGATTATATTGAAAACGAGAAAAATAAGAGTAAAAATTTAAATAAGTGAGATAGTTAAGATGATGACATTCGTCGACGATTTTCATTAATGTATCATATGAATGAAGATGATATATAGAAAGTGATCGTAATCGAGTAAATTGACTAAATGATGATATGTACGAGCGAAATAAATTAATTTGTCCAGGAGTTTTTTCATTATCAGAAAGACTAAGACTAATAATTCGATCAGTAATAAATGGTAAATGTTGGGAACATATTGTATCAAAATTATATTTAGATATTGAATTAAATTTAAAATGATAAGATTGATATTGTTTATAGAGAAGAGAATTGAAATGATAATTGAGACCATTAAATGCATGAAGAAGATCAATACCATTGAAATAATCGAATAGATCAAGTAATATTTCGTTAGGTAATGATTCGAATTTCATCTTGTTTTCTTCGCTTTATTTACAATTTGTTGCAATCTATGTAATAAAAAAAAAAGCAGGTGAGGGTGAGGAGACGAGATAACTTTTTATCTAGCTGCGTAACTCGGATGATTTAGTATGATTTAAAGGCAGGAAGAAAAGTTGGAACAGCAGTAATATCATCGTTTTTCTCCACACTGTATCTTTGGTAGTACTATTCATTCTTTTTTGTATTGGTATAGTTCTTTGTCGTGTTATTCCGTGTAACTCGAAGTATTTTTTTCAGGCAATTCTCTAACATTTTCTCTACTAATAATTGATCATTTCACAGCTAGAAAATTTTGGTGATAAAAAAAATGCTTGCCGATCGTAGATGAGAAATAAAGTTTGATTGTTTTACAGTTGCTTTATATACCAAAAAATGAAGCACCCTCGTCGGTCACGTCGTCTGACCTTTTGTCCTCTTATAAATATGGTGATCGCTGAATCACCATGTCTATCTTTGTTTTGTTTTTATTTGCACAAAACTGACGACCTATAGATCCTAACAGCATATAGCATGAAGATAGTACACACAAAACAAAAGAAGAGAAAGTAGAAAATTCAGCACAAAAAAAAGAAAAGAAAAGGTAAAGTTGAGGGTGTTGGTATGGGGTGT